GCCAGGCGAGTGTCTTACCACTACACCACGGAGACTGCGATTGTTAAAAAATCAGAGACTGATTTGTTAAAATGCAGTCTCTGATCACAGGAAATTAAAAAAATATGTTGTATGTGACATACTTTAGCCACGAAGGAGCTGAGAAGTTCAGCAAATTATGGGCGCTGAGCGATGGAGCGCTCAAGGTCAGTAGGCCCGCCACCCTGTGAGGGCGGCAGTTGCTGCGAATATAATTGTTCACAATTATTTTGATGTTTCTCATTCATTTCTTCTCTGGTTTTTTCTGTAATATTCTTCAAAAGTGTGTAATTAGTGGAATTTATATACAGTAGTTCAATGTGTGGGACATTGCTATGCTCAAAATTATGGGGCTCATATTTGTGACATGTAAATTATATTCTACAATCAATCAAACAGTATTTTTGCTGTTACTACACTATATACACATGTTGCATATACCTATCTACATGTGTTCACCATAACGAACCACTAAGGTGGTATGGTGAGTCAAAACAACAAGAGTGGCCGCAACACAGCAGCTAGCAAACACCTCCTCCCTCCCTCCTTCAACACCTTACTTGCCAACATTCATCCTCCCACCATACTGTTATTGTATTTATTACACTATATACACACATTATATACAAGTATCTACATGCAGATGAGGAGTCACAATAACGTGGCTGAAATATGTTGACCAAACCACCTGCTTTTAATGCTGCTGGTGTCTACTATATTTCCTGTTCGTCTTGTCCTCTCCAGTACTTTGGTGAAACTGATGGTAGACTTAATGACAGACTTAAAGAACACAAAAGAAGTGTTAAGTCTGCAGACACAAACAATGCTCTCTTCTGTCATGTGAGGGATTCTAATCATCCTATTAATTGGTCTTCCTCCAAAATAATTTTTCCTGCCCCTACACAGACGCCGTCTTGTTGAATCGGCTCTAATACACAACGTACCCAGCATAAACTTGAGTCTTGGCTTAGTTGCTAATGATTCTTCCCTTTCACAGTATATACTCAAATGCTCTTAATTTTCTAACAAACGTGACCTAACAAAGCTTACCCTTCCATTTATCTTTCTTTTCTCTTTCCTTCTTTTTTTTTCTTTCCCTCCTTTTCTCTTACGATCCCTTGCTTATTCCTATTACTATCCCCTTCTTATTCCTATTACTACCCCTTCTTATTGTGTAGGATTGGGTGGTTATAAATAGGAGCGGCCTCGAATGGGCCAATAGGCCTTCTGCAGTTACCTTTGTTCTTATGTTCTTATTCCTATTACTGTCTCCTTTATTACACCTTACCATTTATACCTTATGCCTTGCTTTTTCTTCCTCTAAGATTTTCTTCTCCTCGCCTCTCTCTTGGCTATTTATTGCCTTCCCCTCCTTCCCTCATCACAATCGACTTGAGAATGGTCCAGGACATACCAAAACATCGTCGTCCCCTCACTTTCTAGTGTGTGGGTTGGTCAACAAGTATCTACATGTTTTATTCACCATAACTGCACAACTAAGCTGTTATGGTGTCCAAACAACATAGTGGTCACAAAAAACTGCATGACAAGTGACAAAGCATCTAGCAGATAACAGCCTGCCTCACTCCCTCACCAAAAATGGCTCCTCCCGACATTCTCCTTTTGCTGTTATTACACTATATATACACACATTATATATAAGTATCTACATTTGTGTTCACCATAGCAAACCACTAAGCTGATATAGTGAGTCCAGATAATAACAGGTGGCCACACAGAGTCAGCAGACAATGCCACCTCTCCTTCCCTCCCTCCCTCACCAACATTACTCCTCCCACTAAACTATGCACATCGCCAATTCTCACCACAATTCTGCTATTATCAGAATCCTGGTCACTAAATCCTGCAAGTGAATAATTTTCTACAAGTTTATTTTGTAAAGGAACATGAGAAGTCGTTTGAAGATTCTTAGATGAACGAAACAATGGCAGTGTGCTGTGGCTAGTGCTGTGAACATTTTGAACAGCATTGTGTTCACTGATATCTGAACAATGTATAGTCTTGATCACAGTCAGGCTCTTTTGTAATACTATCATGGCTAAATAATACCAGTTACATATATGTTTTGACATTTTTAGCCGATGCTGTGGTCACAAGCTGAACAGCAGTGCTGTTAGCTCATGCTACATGCACCAGCATTGATGGCTCACTCAGTACTGAGGCTCTCACACCCGGGAATGTTACCCACAATTAAAAAAAAAAAAGCTGTCTGTTTACTTGAGCTCTGAGGAAGCTGATGTGAACCCTGTGTAGGCGCTGGAGTTTTGAATCCTAGGCTATACCTATGAGCGCCCTGAGGTGCTCTGCGCAGTATGGTGGTTAAACTGCTGAGGATTTGCCACCGGTGACCTGTACAAGGACAATAACTACATTTAAGATATCTATTTTGATTATCAGCACTTCCACCATATCGTTTGTGGTGGTTTAGCAGCTTAGTACAGATGAGTGTGTGTGTCTTTGCTGTACGAGCTGACCCCACCCTGTAGCCTGTGTTTCCTGTTACATCTGAAAAGATTGTACTCTGACATCCATATTTCACCATCATGGTAGTCCTTTGTATGGGTTTCCATTAGGGCTGCAACACTGCATTTGCTTCATGTAGGAGGCCATCTGTAAAATGAACTTTGTTAGATTTGCATGTTTTTATACCCTGGATGTTGGCAATTAAAAATGATGTTATCATGTTTGTGGAATTGCTGGATGCTTTACTTGATGTTAATATCTGAAGCTCTGGTAGGGAAGGCCACTGTGTTTGTGTCCTGACTAGCATTTGACCGAGTTGGTGGAAGAGTCTGGACATTTTTTAGCCATTATTCTCCTCTCTCTCTTGCTAAAAAATCATCCTGGTCTATATAGTTGTGGCTGTTTTCATAGTTCCGGTCTGTCAGTTTTATTCGCCTGGTACCTCTTGTATGAAAAGCTGGACATTCCCTGTTTAAGCATTCTTTCCTATCTAAAGAGTTCTTGCAAAGGTCTGGGTGAAAAAATTCACAGCTTACGATACATTTACCCATACTAAGGAGGTTTCTGCACTTTCTAGGGTGATCATTATCTTGGTTATCTTGAGATGATTTTGGGGCGTAACGTCCCCGCGGCCCGGTCCTCGACCATGCCTCCTTTTTGTTACACACCCCCCAGGAAGCAGCCAATAGCAGCTGTCTTACCTCCCAGGTACCTATTTACTGCTAGGTGAACAAGCGCATCAGGATAAAAGAAACTGCCCATTTGTTTCCGCCTCCACCAGTGATTGAACCCGGAACCTCAGGACTATAAACCCCGAGCATTGTCCACTCAGCTGTCAGGCCCCTACTTCGTACTATCGTATTTACATATTCCCTTTGTTCTTCCCAATATCCCATGTTCACAGGTACCCCGTTTTTAATATCGACAGGTATTGGGTCCTCATTTGTTTCCCTTTACCAGAGACCACACTCTGCTGTGTACTGGGGTGAACAAGCACCCTAGGGTACTGGGTTGAACAAACACCCTAAGGTACTGGGGTGAACAAACACCCTAGGGTACTGGGGTGAACAAACACCCTAGGGTACTGGGGTGAACAAACACCCTAGGGTACTGGGATGAACAAACACCCTAGGGTACTGGGTTGAACAAGCACCCTAGGGTACTGGGGTGAACAAACACCCTAGGGTACTGGGGTGAACAAACACCCTAGGGTACTGGGATGAACAAACACCCTAGGGTACTGGGTTGAACAAGCACCCTAGGGTACTGGGTTGAACAAACACCCTAGGGTACTGGGGTGAACAAACACCCTAGGGTACTGGGGTGAACAAACACCCTAGGGTACTAGGGTGATCAAACATCCTATGGTACTAACCTAAGATTAAACGGACACTGTTTATCCAAGTTTAAGAACAAATAAGTGTGATTGTGAAGCCTTACTGGTGTGTTGGGTTTTATTAAAGCATTAATATAAGCTCAGTGATAGTTACTGGCTTGTCTTGTCTTGTGCTGAGCTTGGTGCAATGCCTCATGTGCCGAATGCTTTCACTCGCTGTAAAGGAGAACGTATAAATAGGTTCGCTTTATAAGGGCAGTATCAAAGACCAAATTTTTATATTGGCATGCGATTGTTTATTTTCTTTGTGTAAAGGTTGACGAACTGAGTGAGAAGTTGTGTTTGAGCAGATCTAATATGTGAACAAATTTTGAATGACCTAAGTGGAAAATGTGTATGGACCATTTTACTAATTGTAAAGATTGATAATAATTATTAAGTTTTTAATAATTAATGTTTCATTATTTATTTAGTTTTTGCACATTATTTGGTTTTTGGCCACTCAGATTTGTTGGACTGATACAGAAAAAAGCTTTGACGGTTATAAGCTTTGAGAAGTAATATGCTTGTAATATGCTGCACACTTAAGAGACGAAGTTTAGTCTCTGTTGCAACGTGTTTGACACAAGCCTCGTCCTGCTCACTGTTTGGCATGAAACAAGGCACATACTCTTATTCTTTGTAGTTTCCTGTATAATATAAAACATGCACAATGTAATCACAATAACCTGATGTATCAGTGGTCATTGAGGCAATGTGATGGGATTGAACTTGCATCTCCCGCAGACTTTGAGGGAGTTCAATCCCATCACGTTGCCCCAGTACTGTCTCGTATAAAATGTGTTATTCAGTTAATGTGCCATTCAGGCTATGTTTAGATGTTATAAAAGTCCAAAGTTGTTTAATTATGACTTGTTTACCAGCTGTGATAGTGTGGATCAATAGTGCTCAATGTCATCAATGTGATACAAAATTCATGGTTTTTGTGTTAAGGAAGTTAAACGTGAAATACTGTATTGTATTATAAGCTACAAAGCTATAAATGTACATTATATTTGTCTTAGCTTTAAAAAAATTTGTCTCTAAATTTAATAATAACTTTAATTATTATTTGCTTTAATTGGATTGTTAAAGGTGACACACGTGTTCTCTACATTGGTAGGATGATGGCAGGTGTGGTCCCACCTCCCATGGCAGCGCCCAATGACACTGTCAACCCAGCCGCTCAGCCTCCTCCATACCTCCACCCGTATGACTCTGTCAAGGTAAATGCTATTTACAGTTCTTTATCTCATATTTTTACATGCGTAACAAACTTCAATGATAATATCAATGAATGCTTTGATTTCCATTATGTCATTAGGATTGAGAGTTTGGAAGTGGTAATTCACTGCTCGAGCAGTTTAACCCTCAAACCGCGCATATCATATATAAATGATATCAGTGACAAAACCGAAACCGGGCACATCATTTATATATGATTTCGTGTCTAGCGCTATAATTTAAACGCCCCGCCTGGGATAAGGGCAGCTATAGTACAGCCACGACCGATAGTTGCCAGATGCCACCTAGAAAAAAAATCCAGGCCAACATTCTTGGGTGTTACAGTGTCAGTATTGAGCAAGCCACCAAGGCTGGCGCACGCAGCACGTGCTCACAGCACCGCTGTTCAGCTTGTGACCACAGCATCGCCTACAAATACCATAATATAAATGATACTGCTATTATTTAGCAGTGATAGTATTACTGAAGCCCCCTGACTGTGATAAAACTGACCAGGATTCTGATAATAGCAGGATTGTGGTGATATTTAGCGCTGTGCTCCATGGAGGGAGGAGTAAGGCTGTGGGAGGGAGGGTTGTGGCATCGTTTTCTGACTGTGTGTGGCCACCATTTATTGACTGCACTCACCATACCAGCTTAGTGGTTCGATATGGTGAACACAAATGTAGATACTTATATATAACGTGTGTATAGTGTGAGATAACAGCGAGAGGAGTAGGTTGGGAGCCGCCATTATGGTGAGGGAGGAGCGTCGTCTGCACGACTTGGCATGTTGTTTACTGATGGCCAATATGGTCTTTGGGCACCATACCAGCTTATTTGTTCAGGTATGGTGAATAAAACAGGTAGATACTTATATATAATGTGTGTATATAGCGTAATAACACAACAAACAATATTGTTGAAGGACAAATATTAGTGTGTCTGGCCTTGAGGGCGGCCGCCGATCAGCTGACTGTGTGAGTAGCTACGTCTTATGGCCTTTACTCACCATACAAGCTTAGATGTACAGTTATGGTGAACAAAACATGTAAATACGTATATATAACGTCTGTGTATAGTGAATAAATACAGAAAGAGTATTGTGGGAGGTGAATGAGGGTGAGTGAGGTGGTGTGGAGGTTGGGAGTGGCAGTGAGTGGCTCGCTGGTGTTTGGCGGTCACTCCTCGTTGGTTTTTGACTCACAAGACCAACTTAGTAGTTCGTTATGGTGTACAAAACATGCAAATACTTATATATAACCTGTGTATATAGTGTAACAACAGCAAAACTATTTGTTTATTGTTTTATGAACATAATAATTGAATCACTAATATACACACCATAATTTTGAGTACAGCGATGGTTCACACATTTTATAATATAAATATACCACAATTCACTGTATGGAATAATATTACTGCAAAAAAACTAAAAAAAATCAATCGGACATTGAAATAATTAGGTAATAATATATTTGTGGCAACTGCCGTCTGACAGCTCGGGCGGAGTAGACCTCGTCTGGCGAAGGCTCTGCCAACGCCCCTTTTTTGCCACACTTCCCTACCTTATTGCGGCTAAAATATGCCACCTACGATTTTTTTGTTATTTTTTCCGTGATCAGGGAACAAAAATGAACACTTCTATAAGACGAAAGAATTTTTTGGATTTTTTTTTTGTTGCGCCTGTGGGTGTGAATTCCATTTGGGTCCCTAGCGGTTTGAGGGTTAAAGGTAAGATGCCATACTATGATGATTATTGTTTTCAAGTTAAACTGAGTTAGCCATATACATTGGCCAAATATCTGTAATGAAGTTATTGCAATATTTTGCAAATAATTTCTGCACTGGCAGACATTTACTACATTTATCTAATAAAGATAATATGGCAATTATCCACCATAGTGGTGTGATACAGAATGTGTGTGGGCAGACATCCTCCTGTTTAGGTATTACTTATAGCAACGATGTGGACCATTTTACATAAAGTGACATAATGGACCATTAGAAAGTAGAATGTGGTGCTTCTGTGCAATAATACTAAATTCAATTATCTAATTGTTACAGCAGTTCAGTGGTATCTCAGTTTACAAATTTAATCCGTTCCCAGAGTAAGCCAAAAATTTGTAAACCGAAGCGAATTTTCCCATAAGAAATAATGTAAATTGAATTAATCCGTTCCTTACTCCCCAAAAAATTTACTTCAAAGTAAATTTGATATCTAATTCACCCAAATCTTTAGTACTAAAGTATGTACTGTACAAGTTTTTACTTACCTTTATTGATGACTTTTGTTGGCATATGGAAGACGGTGAGGAGGGGGAAAGGAGGAGAGGTGTTAGTGTTTGGAAGGGGAGTCCTGTTCCATTATAACATCAAGCAGTAATGACTTCTCTGGGCTACGCTCTCTGACACGTTTTGCCTGCATACCACTAGGACCTGCTTGTGGCTCACTGCTTGATTTTCTCACTAAAAATTGATCAATTCGGGATTGTTTTTCCCTTCATTTTAACACTTGTCTGCAGCGAGGCATCACATTGTCAATGAAAAGGTTAATGCAACGGCCTACTACAGCTTGCTCTGGGTGAGTCGTTTCAACAAAAGTTTGCATTTCTTCCCATAGTCTACACCATTTCCTCATTGTTAAGGAAGAGACATTCTGTACTGCCTCCTCCCTGAAGAAATTTCCTCAGCGGCCTCTTGTTGCTGCTGCTTGTGAAGGGCTATGAGTTCTTCAGTGGTTAGTCCTTCGCTGTGTTCCTTCACCAACTCCTCCACGTAGCACCATCCAACTCCAAGCCCAATATCCGGCCCAGAGTAACAATTTCCTCAACAATAGGCCATTCAGGTTCAGGCTCAAACCCCTCAAAGTCGAGTTCTGAAACACATTCAGGCCACAATTTTCTCCAGCCAGAGATCAGGATTCTTTGAGTCACTTCTTGCCAGGCTTTGTCAATGAGTTTTAACCCTTGTGTTGCTAAGGGCTATTTGGCCATTGTCACCAACAAGCGCATAACAAAAAATAAAAAATTCTTTTAAACCTGTTAATTTGTGTTCCCTGATCACGGAAAAAGTAATAACATTGTAAGTGGCATATTTTGCCTGCTATAAGGCGGGGAAGTCTGGCAAAAAAAGAGGCGCTGACTCAGCATGCGTCCGAAGCGGTCTGCTCGGCCCCAGCTGTCAGGCAGGAGTGGCCACAAAGAGATAATTACCTAGTTATAAGAGATAATTACCTCCTGCTGTTGCTCTGGGGTCTGACCAGTGGGCCCCTTCCCTTCCGGCTCTTTAGGCTGCCCCAGCTTTTTCTTGTGAGGCTGGGGCTTTGGGGGATGACTCGGCCCCGGGGCCTGGAGAGGGGGTTCCTGGGGTTGGGGGGGCCTTGGGCTCCGTTGGACTCCGCTTGGATTTTCTGTCCTTCTGAGAGGGGCCTACTGTTGCAAGGAGTGGGATTTTCTTTTCCCCCTTCTGCGTACGATTTGGACTTGGGTTCTGCTCCTTCCCGGGTTTGGTTCTGTGTCCCTGTGGATTCTTCGGTTCCATCTTTCCGGAGGTTTTTGGCTTCCCGCATCTCGCCACCTGAGGTATGGTCAGCCATTGCGGCTTAACTCCTGTGTGACCCGCAGTATGCCTCCATAATAGTTCCTTCTTCGTTCAGGTTTGGATCATCGTGTCCTTACTGGGTGCATTATGAGGTTCTGGGTCATCCTGGCTTGCAGACTGCCCCTTGTTTTCGTTGGATGCTTGGGACTCATTCTGTCGGACACACGCGTGTGAGTGGCGCAAAGCGTTGACGGTGGTCCAAGTTTACCTGGGGAGCAATTTTGCGCATCTTAACCCTTAAACTGCGCATGGCGTATATATATGCCATAGGGTGCCAGGCATGATTCAAATGGCCCGCGGCTACATGGGGTTCACATCATCTTCCTCAGGGCTCTTGTAAACAGACGCCATGTTTAAAACAAATCGTCGGCAATATTCTCCAGTGTGAGAGCCACAGTACTGTTGGAGCAACCATGGCTGGCGCACGCAGCTTGAGCTAACAGCATTGCTGTTCAGCTTGTGACCACAGCATCGCCTAAAAATGTCAACATAAATATGTAACTTCTATTATTTAGCGATGACAGTATTACAGATGACCCCTGACTGTGATAAAAATGACCAGGATTATGATAATAGCAGGATTGTTAGCGCTGTGTGGGAGGAGTAATGCTGAGGGAGGGAGATAGCGTCATTTACTGACTGTGTGGTCACCTGTTGTTGTCTGCATTCACTATACCAGCTCAGTGGTTCTCAATGGTGAACACAAATGTAGATAATTATATATAATGTGTGTATTAGTGTAATAACAGCAAAAGGATTATGTTGGAAGAAGCCATTTGGGTGTCGGAGGTGGCATCGTCTGCATGACTTGTCTAGCTAGGTAGAGGGTGGCCATTATGCTCTTTGGGCACCCTACAAGCTTAGGTGTACAGTTACGGTGCATACAACATGTAGATACTTATTACACTTGTGACGGGAAGGTGTTGGAGTGTAGATGTTCGGCAGTCTTCCAATGGCAGGTGTCAATGCCTGGTCACATTTACAAAAAAAAAGATAGACTGCTTGCCTGTTGTCTGTGGTAAGTGAGAGGGCGGAACACGTAAAACACAAAGTATGAACAATGAAACTTTAATATATACTTTAAACATAAATGAAAATAAAAAGACATGTCCTGTGGCAATGAATAGTGCAATTTAACACTTTCGCGCTTTCGATTAGAGATAACTCGTCACTGGTTTTTCTTACGATTCCGCATAACTGCCTACTTTTCTCGTCAATCGAAAAAATATTTCTATAAATTCCATTTTTTAACCGAAATGGATGGGGATACTTTTGTTTTGTAGAGAATTTATTTGCGAATTTTTTGGTACCAGAATGAATATTATATCACATAAACTTCTATGAGTAAAAAAAAAATATACAAAGTATGTTTGGGGGTGTGGCGAGCGTGTGGCAGTGG